TTAATTGCAGGATCATCCAACTTCTGAAGTTTGATGATTTCTGGGTCAGTTGAAAATGACTTTTCATATTTTAGAAGAACTTGGCGAAGTTTGTCTCTTTCTTCATCAGATGTCAGAGTGTCGGCTTGAGCGACCACCTGTTCAATCTGTGATGAGACTGATGAGGGTTCTTGCTCCTTGGGGAGCTCCAACGAATCCTTTTCTGAGTCGTCGGACCTGTCTATGGGTAAGACACCATAGGTTTGAGGCCCTTGGTCGACGTCATTGTTTGAGAAAAGAGCGATGGCCTGTGATGGTTTCGTGAAACATACTGGCCCAGCTTCTTGACTCGGTACCAGGTTATCTGGGAGTCCTCCCAGAACTGGAATGCCTAGTTCAAAATCATGAAAATCAGTTTCTGAGTTTTCAATTTGCGATGACTCATCATCGTTTGTGTGTGAGTTTATCCCCCCTTCGTCCGATGAGGGGTTGTTGGAGGCAATAACAGCAATGTCTTGGTGTGTTTCACCGACATCTGTAATGTTGTCATTCGCGCCTTCAGATTTAGTAGCGATCGCATCACTACATAGTGCTCCTGGTTGGGTTCCCATTTCAGCGTGTATCAAAGTGTCTAAAAACCTTTGTATTTCCTCTGTCTCTTCCGAGCTCAGAGGTTTAGGGCCTTGTTCCTGGAACTTTTGTGATTTTTTCGCCTCGGGACGTTTCGTCCGAGGTGGGAGGCGGCTAGGTACGTCTTTTGGGGGTTCCTCTTCGGATTTCCCCTGATAATATGGGTCCTCTCGGTTCCCATATTTTTTCGTCCTGCGCATGTCCCATGTACGATAATCACGTTCATCCTCTGAAAGAGGAGCCTTTTTGTCCCAGCGTGTACCTTCATTACGTGGTTTGTTAGTTTGAAAATACTGCCTTTTCTCGCCTGTTTTAGGAGGAGGTGTCGTCGCACGCCTTCCTTCCATTTCTAGGGAGTGGGGTTTAACCTTTACACCAGGAAACACCTCAATGGGCGTCTTATCATGAGAACATACCTCGAATACATTCACAGCACACTGTTTAATCTCATTTATGGATTTTTCTCTGAAATTTGCCATAATTTGTACTGACATGCGTATGTCAGTGTGGAGATTTTTGCTGAAAACAAATTTAAAATTTTCTTCTTCCTCCGTTCCGGTATCATTTCTGTAACCAAAATAAGCTTGGAAGATTCTTTTGTAATAGATCTTTGGATGTTCATTCTTTCCCTGCTTGACCTTGTCAGCGGCTGGGAAACCAGCAGGTCCCGTGCAGGGGTCGTACTCTCTGATCAAAGCCTCACACAGAAGGTTGTAATCCTTTCTCGTTGCATCAGGTAGACGCTCGATGAAGGCATACACCTCTCTGTCTGAAGTGAGCCGTATCAGACTGATCTTATCCTCTACCGTAGCATTAGGATAAGATCTCAATCTGAACTCCAGATCTCTGAGGTACGCTTTTGTTCCAGATGAGCCCATCGGTCCAGGTACAAAGCGTTGTACATATTTTGAGAGTTTTAGCAGAACATCCATTGAAAGAGGAAGTTTCCATGCACTCTGTTGCATGTTTTGTGGAGGAGACCTGTTCAGGTCTGTTCCTACCACTTTAGGTGAGGGTGGATTACGAGCAGGAGGTGCAACAACATCTTTCTGAGGTGTTTGTGGGTGACCTGGACTCTGTCCACGGTCTTCTCTGAGTTCCGGACAAACTCGCCCCACGTCAGAACTTTTATTTGTTGCCGCTCTTAGTTTTTCTTCACATGTTTTTAAACGTTCCTGTGATGTATGATAATCACTTTCTAAACGCATATGTAGCTGTTGTAAATTGTGTTTATCTATCCTGCGTTCTTCCAGCTTTTTGTTAAGCACATCTATTTTGCTATTCAGCGAATCAATTTCTGCATTTGCATTTTGCTGTGATTGAAACATCTGTTCAGAATGTTTTTTGTGAGGACTTCGTGTTCACTTTTAAATTGAAGGAAGTGTTCTTCAATTTTCTGAACCACCTCTTTTTCACTGTCTAACCTTATTGCAAGGTAATCAGCTTTCTCAACAACCGTATAGAATGATTCTTTCAGCAAAATTGCGATTTTAGCCAGCTGATCATAACTTGACTTTGTAATTTCCGTAGAGGTCACACTTTCTGCAACCTCCTTCAGATTGTCCAATAACTCTTTTGGGTTCATGCTCTCTGCCTGTTTATCATATGGATGTAAGGAATCTGTCAGAAGCGCTAACGCATTCTCTAAACAGTCCCTTAACCCATAAGGATCAAAGTCTTTTTCTAACACACCTGTCATGTTCGTTCACTGTGTAGCACTTTATCTGTTTAAAACAGTTGCAAGCTTCAGATATTTTACAGGTAAATATTTGTATTCAGATGTCTTTGAGTTTTCACACTATTTTAAGCTCTGGGTTTACACAGAAGTACTGTTATAAGTCACTTATTCAAATGTGGGTACCTTTCTGTAGGTTTTACCCCAATTCATGAATATTTAAGTAAATGCTCTCTGGCAGTGTTACTTTTTATGTGCTTATTTCTTAACAGATACTAGATTACCAAGCTCTTTTTAGTGTATTTTACTCTAAAGCACTGAATTTTTAATAAACCTGCAATTTTTCTAAAAAGTCTCACAGCAAATCAGTTTAAAGACACTTTTTAAACCATTCTGTTCCAGAAATTTGCTATTTTAACAGTTACTCATAGAACCAAGTGGTGAAAAGAAAAAGAAAAGTTGATGATGTGTCAGGATTAATCAGTCTTTCTTCAGAAAAACTGTTATTCCTGTTCTCCTGTCTCATCCTCTATTTAAAATTAAATAGGAAGATTTACTTTTAGGTGGTAACTTAAACAGAAAAGTTTCTTTTTCCTGATAAGTTTACTCTTATTTAGTGATTTTGCAATTAAACGTGCATTATCTTTCAAGCAAATGAGTAACTGATCAACTCTG